TCCTTTAGGATGTTTTTCATAGCAGGGTTGACTTTGGCAAAATCCCTTAGCTTCTGCCTATCCTGGAATGTTTTGATTACACCATCGTATTTGAGTGACATGCAAAGTCCTTTGAACCATAAGATTGGTGGCTCATGCTCACCAACCTCTCCTTAGAAACCCTATTATGGGTAGAAAACGACTTGATGGCATTTAACAAGAACAACAAACCTTGTTAGAAAATCTCCGTAATGTATGTAATCATCTTATGTAATTGTTTCTGTCTTAGAATTTTCTCATATAATTTTTCCTCTGAAATACTATTATTTTTCATGCAAATGCAAATGAAAGACTACCTAAATGCTCTCCAGTAGGGGACTGGTTAAATAAACCATGGACCACTGCACTTATTTCAACTACAGAGCATGTGAGTTAATGCACCAGACTGCAAAGCCATTTGAACTGCAAGGTTGGCGGTTCAAGCTCACCAGCTCCTCCCTGGAAACCCTATACAGGGACGCTATGGGTTGGAATCGACTCAACAGCATATAACAACAACTACTGGCATTTAGGGATTTTCTCATTTTCACTCATATAAAAAATGCAGCATTTACCCAACAAGGTAGGTTCTAGTTAACTAAGAGCTGTTGTTGTTGTTAAGTGCCATCAAGCTGGCTCCAACCTATAGCTACCCTGTATAAGTTTTCCAAGGAGCGACTGGTAAGCTTGAACCACCAACCTTGTGATTTAAACCAACTTTGCAGTCCAGCGCTGTAACCCACAGCGCCACACCAGGACAAAGCGATAAGATTTGTCTTACACATTGCTTATACATCAAAGATAAACTAGCTTTATATTACTATATATGAAGTTGGATTATATTACTGGTTCTTGGTTAATGAATCTGGTTGTAATGTATAATTAGGATGAGATGGATTAGAGTTGTGGAGGATAGCCTGGAAAGTTACAGAAATATGGATGTCAGTGTTTTACATTAGGATACTTATAGAAGTTCTTTTAAGAAAATTAAAGAAAAAAACAATAAGATTTATAAACAATTTTTCTCCTCTTTTTCAAAACATAGTGAATGATAAACAGATCCTATTTTGTTAAGTCGTAACATTCTGCTAAATTTAAAAACAAATAAGCATTTTATTTAATAAGTTATTGTTAAGTGTCATCCAGTCAGTTCTGACTCATAGGAACCCTGGATAGGGTCTCCAAGGAGTGGCAGAGGGGGTTTGAACCACTGACCCAGGGGTTAGCAATCCAGTGTTATTCTACAGCACCACACTAAGACTCCAATATTAATAAGGGTTAACGATCGTGGTTATGCATCATGGAGTCGATTCCGACTCATAGCAACCCTGTATAGGATTTCCAAGACTGTAAATCTTTATGAGAGCAGAAAGCCTCATCTTTCTCCCGTGAAATTGCTGGTAGTTTAGAACTACTAACCTTGAGGTTAATAGTCTGACTCATAACCACTATGCTACGAGAGCACTGTGGAATTTATAGAAAGTGTAAAACCTTGTGATATATACATAATACTGATTGGCCCCACAACAGGCTTAATATTAGGCCTCTGCTGATGATCCTGGCTAAATTTTCTTTCTTTCTTTTAACAGAATCCGAAAACAAAAGAGCAGATTGAAAATCTGTTACGGAATGGGATGAACAAAGAACTTCGAGATCGTCTTTGTTGTCGAATGACCTTTGGGACCGCAGGACTGCGTTCTGCTATGGGGGCAGGGTTTTGCTATATTAATGACCTTACAGTAATACAGTCAACACAGGTAATTTATCATAAAGTATTGTATATGTACCTTTTCTCATTCTGGGTTTCTGTTTTTGTTTCATGAACTAGATTGTGCCTTTCCTTAAAAGTTAGCTTTATTTCCAGGAAGATACTCAGATGAAGTATAAAATGTACTTTTAGTCTTCCTTAAGGCTTATTTTAGAAATAATTTGTATGTCTTCAAGATCTTTTTTTTGTTGTTTTTGATTAAGTTTTATTTTTTTGGTCTTTGTGATAATGTTGCTTTGCATTTGAAACTGAGAAATGGAGAGTGACATTTCAAACTAGAACAAAGAAACAAACTTAGAAAGATGAGGAATGCCCCCAATTTAGCACATGGACATAGATAAAGGTCAAAATATTTGGGAATTGTGGTTTTCTGTGTCCAATTTTATGGTAAGGTACAATTTATTTTCTTTCTCTACGTTTTATGAAAATTACTCTGAAAACAAATTACTTCTCTTTCTGGTGAAATCATCCTCACTAATTCAAGGAACTTCACTTTTTAAAACCAAGAATCCATGTAGCATATACAGTCATGAGTTGCTTAAAGTCCATGATATATTCTGTGAAATAGGATGTTGTGTGATTTGAACATGATGTGAGCACCATATTGTGTATAGTTAGTCCCTGGATTACAAACCAGTTCTGTACCTAAATCTGTCTTTAAGATGAAATGGTGCATGAGTCAGAACAGTTTAGGTATGATTCATATCTAATGTCAGCTAGTCAAACGTCTGTCTTAGTATGTGATATGTCGAGTCCTTATGGTGTAGTGGGTTGTGCATTTATCTCTTAACTGCAGGGTCAGCCGTTTTAATCCATTAGTTGTTCCTTGGGAGAAAGATGGGACTCCCCTGTAAAGATTTACAGCCTCAGAAACCCTACACAGGGTCGTTGTGAGTCAAAACTGACTCAATAGCATGTAACAACAACAATGATATACATGATACTCCTCTATGCATAAAAGCACTTCCACATACATTAAAGCATCGTTATCATAATAATAACCTTTTAGTGCATATGGCAAAGTAACATCCATTGCTATTGCTAGCAGTATGTGCCTTGAATTTTTAACATAATAGGCTTTGCTGTTGGACATTGCTCAAGCATATGATTGTACTAAAAATAGGTCTGGGCCAAAGAATTGCTCTAATCAGTATTGTTAAACAGTAAATCAGCTTCAGCATGGATCAGCAGAAGTTCTATAATAACGCCAAGGGCGAATGTAAGGACTGAGTTGGTAGGATACAGGCTGCTTTATCTCTCAGCTCTGTTTTATTCCTTAACTAGAGATATTTCAGTTAAATCTGGTTTTATATATAGGTTAATGTTGTTGTTAACTGTCACCAAGTCAATTCTGACTCATAGTGACACTGTATAGGATTTCAAAGCCTGTAAATCTTTGCAGGAGCAGAAAGCCTCGTTTTTCTCCCATGGAATCGCTGGTGGGTTCAAACTGTGGTTCGCAGTCCAGTGTTTATCCTAGAGCGCCTCCACACTCCCCTTTACATAGGTAGTCCCTTTCTTATAATCAGGGTTCCTTCTGTTCCAACAACTCTGCTGTAAGTTGGTTCTGATATAACTTGAACACCTACTGCTGTATTTTTGTTGTTTTCATGATTGCCTTTATTATCAGTATCTTTATAAATTCAATCTTTATTTGTCTTTGGGGGTTGAAAACATTGCATATAAATACCTAAGAATAAACATCTGCAAATGATAATATCAGCAAATTACATGTTGCAGCACTGCTTGTAGTACAAAACCAAGCCAACAAAAATATGGTTCTAAGTGCAGTTCATTGTAACTCAAATATGTCTTAAGTCGGGGACCACCTGTATTGGGTTTTCTCATAAGATTTCATGTGAAGTGAAGATTTCTTGATTTTACAAAAGGGAGTTGAGGAGATGATTAAGACTCAATTTCTATAGAAGTGCAACATTTTCTACAAGTTTGGATCCCATTGTGTTACTTGGAAAAGTCAGATTAAATCTGATTCTTAAACCTCAGTGTTTCTCATAGTCTAGCTATAAAGGGATAAAATAATTAAATTCTTTAAAAAAATTAATAAAAGATTCTCATAGCTGAAAGAAATAGTAGTTCTATGAGGTTTTAGGACAATATCATAATTAGACATACATAAATTGGTGAAAGTAGATAATTTGGTCTCTATTAAACCTACCCCTCCCCACACATACACATAGTAAGTAGATTGGAAAGGGAAATAAAATAATTATAGTTGAAAAATCTTTCATGGATCAGAAGTCACTGGAGCCCGATTTGGTGCTGCCACATACATATTTAGTACCTGCCTTTTGCTAGTAGGTCTTCAATGAGCAGTGTAACTTAATTTTTGTTGAATGAATAGTCTTGGGTAAGTTGCTAAATGGAGCTTTCTTTACTCTTTGTATGAACTCTTCTTTTTGTCAGAAATACTGAGAGATAAAGACACAAATATAAGTATTTACATTCCCTACTTTTCAGGATTATTTGTAAAGTTTAAACAAGACAACATATGTGAAACTCATTTTCAAGGTCTGTAATAATATGAAGGACTCTTGATATGGCGCTGTAGGATCAGCACTGGACTATGAACCACAAGGTCGGCACTTCATACCCACCAGCTGCTCCTTGGAAACCCTATATAGGGTCGCTATGAATCAGAACCAACTCAATGGCACTTAACAACAACAAAAAATAATACAAAGTACTGTTTTTAGAGAATGAAAGTATCTGTTCTTAAAGTAAAATCATCCATAGATAGCTAAGTGGTTTTAGTCTGTCACTTTTTTCAATACTTCATTCTATTTTTTTGTTACCCTTGCCTACAAACTTTCTTAGTTCATGAGATTTCTTTATTCATAAGAATTTTAAAACCAAGCAATTGTAAATGGGATTAAGAAATATTCTAACAGAGAAATATATTGTTTGATTTTTAAATGTTTGCATCCTAAGTAGGTTATATCTGTTGGTTAGCTTATGATTTAACAAAGGCCTAAAATGGCCAAAATGTGTTCTCTAGAGCTTTGAAAGCAAGAAATAATTTTTTCTGGCACTTGTAACCATCTTTTTAGCTTAGTGACTATCAAATCCTGTCTTTTGTAATGATTTATATATTGTATTAATTAGATGGTTACGTAATAGAAATTTCTATGATATTACATGTGTTTGAAATGTCAGGAAATAAATAAGTTTGTCAGCTAGCTAGACTGAAGAATATTGTTCTTACATAAGTAAACATAAGCACAAAGGCAGAGGTCAGTTCCCTAGGAGCCAACAAGCTACATACAAAGCATGAAAATAAAAGATTTCAAGTCTTACAAAATGCAAGTATTCATCAGGAACTAATCTTTTATGTTTATCTGCTTCAGGGGATGTACAAATACCTGGAGAGATGTTTCTCAGACTTCAAGCAGAGAGGCTTTGTCGTTGGGTATGACACCCGAGGTCAAGTAACTAGCAGCTGCAGCAGCCAGAGGTATAGTGTTAATTGTTTCCAAGATTAAGTTGGATCGGAATAAAACATAAATGTTTTTGCCCAGTAGTAGGATTTCTGAAACAAGAGACTGTCAAATAGAAATGCATTTATTTTAAAGCTGAAATAGAAACAGCAGCATTTCAAATATAAGCTCTAGCTTTTATAAAAGGAGTAAAATTTTAATTTTAAAAATAAAATAAAAAACTCTTTTAAATGGAAAAAGTCTGCATTTAAATGTAAACAGCACTGGGCAGGAGTAATTTTGTGGCTTATATTTGAGGCCTGGTGTGGTGCTGTAAGATAAGCACTGGACTGCTAACCAGAAGGTCTATAGTTAAAACCTACCATCTGCTCTTGTAAACCCTATATAGCATCACTATGAGTTGGAACCAACTTGATGGTACACAACAACACTCTCCCTTTATAGTCCTATTTGATTAGTTTCAAAGTGTATTCATACATAGATAATTATGATATGTTGTTGTTGAGTGCCATTGAGTTGGTTCTGACTCATAGTGACTGACTGTCCCTCTATAGGGTTTCCAAGTAGCAGCTAGCTGGTGGATTTGAACCACTGACCTTTTGATTAGCACTTCAGTGCTTATCCTACAGCACCATACCAAGACTCTGATCATGATATAGTGATGCCTTTTTCAGGAACTTATTTTCAGGTGGGGTTCCTGGGTTGTACAAACAGCTAGTATCTTGACTGCTAACTGAAAAGTTGGCAGTTTGAGTCCACCAAGAGGTACCGCAAAAGAAAGGCCTAGTGATCTACTTCTGAAAAATCAGCTACTGAAACCCATACAGAGCACAGCCGTGAGTCTGAGTTGACTCAACAGGTAGTTAACGGTGTTTGTGTGTTTTCCTGGGATAATTATGCATGTTGAGTACTTATTGTGTAAAAGAGTCATCAGAAATGAATGAGGGGAAAAGAGGAGATTAAATTCTTAATTCTGTTCATTGTTAAACTCTGTCTTGCTTTTAAACATTTTTATTGTGAATTGAGTGGAAGTTTACAGGCTAGATTTCAGTTTTACATTCAGTAAATCATATTTTGTTTCATTGCAATGATTACAATCCCCTCTCTGTACCATCAGTGAACAGTATTTACCTTCCCCTCCTTTTCTTTTTTTTTTTTAATGTATACATACAAAACAGAAAATACATATTTGTTTAAATGTCCAAAAGGTACGCTTTGCAAACTAGCCTCTTGCCCACAGACACATAGCCTTTCTCATTCCTTGGGCCTTATCTCTATCTCTCTATGCCATTGCCTTTGCCACAGTCTCTGCTGTCTCTACTTTTCTGGTTAGGATCCCATGCTCCACTCATGCTCTTCCCTCTTGCTGGTCCTAGGTTCCTCTTTTCTTGAAATAGAAGATTAACTTTTAGTTACACATCTTCTACATTTACAGTTGCTACAATCACAATTAGTTCTAATAACAATTACACACAATTGAATCATAAAATCTTATCCCTATCATCTCTCATCCCCTCTCACCAGACCCATCTGGAAAAGAGGTTAACTATTCTGTGGGGATTCTACCTTATCAGCTTCATTCTGAAACTGAGCACACTCATGAAAGCTTGTAAGCCAGCTACTTTGTACCTTTATAACCCACCATTTTTGACAGCCAATGTCTAAGTTGCCTGTCTCTGTCAACTAGTGTACTGAGGAAGCAAGCTTGATCCTTGATATGAAGATTCCTTCCCTTTCAGTTGGAATTTTGAGCAACTCCAGGTCATCAAATTGTAGCAATTTACACTTGCTCCCTGTATCAAACTTCTTTATCTTCATGTGGTCATTAAATTCTGCTTTTTTAAAAATTCTGTTTACTTATACTTTATTTTTTGTTGTTGTTAAGTGCTGTCAAATCAACAAGACTCATAACAACCCTGTATAGGGTTTCTGAGGAGTGGCTGGTGAGTTTGAACTGCTGACTTTGTGGTTCAAATTGACCTTGAGGTCCAATGCTTATACTTATCATCTTTAAATTGGAGCATGAAGCTTAAATAGCCAGTGATTATAAGAATTGGTGGTATAAAGCTACTATATTTTTGAAATAATTATAAGGTGAAGCATTTATTTTGTAGAGAAGGTTGGTCTTTATAAACTAAATGAAATCTCCTTTTTTTTTTTTTCAGGCTTGCAAAACTCACTGCTGCAGTCTTGTTGGCTAAAGATGTTCCTGTGTACCTTTTTTCAAGATATGTCCCTACACCTTTCGTAGTAAGTATGCTATGTTAAATGATCCCTGGTGGTGCAGTACTTAAGCACTTGGATGCTAACTAAAAGATCAGTAGTTCAAGCCCACCAGCCACTCTTTGGGAAGAAGATGTGGCAGTCTGCTTCTGTAAAGATTTTTAGCCTTGGAACCCCTGTGTTCCATATCCTATAGGGTTGCTCTGAGTCAAATGTGACTTGACGACAGTGGGTGTGGTTTGGGTTTATGTTATATTGTTGATTATACAATTTTCTGCTCTAGAAAGTATTTCTTGAATCAACCAGGACTCAAATCTTTGTCTTCCATATAATACTATATTAAGTGATATGAAGGGTCAAAGGAAGGAAGACAAATTTTGTCCTGCATTTATTTTTATTCAACAAGCATTTGGTGAACCTCCTAAGAGCTTGAGTTAAGCAAGTTGATGTGTCTAGTCATGTGAAATATTTTAATATTCTTCTTTCACATACTAATTTATCAGACAAAAATGAGTTCGGCTAGATCTGAGTACACTGTTAGTTGTGTATATGTGGAGGTATATAAAATCCTGTATCCAGTGATAGCAGAATACATTTTTTTAT